AAAGGTAGATGAAAAAGAAAACATTTAAATATTTTTTTAAAGTAAAAAAAGAAAACTCAATTATTCAAAACACATTGAAGGAAGATAGCACCAGGCCAAGAATTCTCTTCATTACTTCTCTGAAGCAAAAGGAAATGGCGAATCTAGAGTCAAACTGCATGCAACGCTGATTCATTTGTAGCTCAGATGACAGCAACTGACAGGTGTATATTTTCCCCACCACAGGGGAGCACAACTAATAAAGAATCTATGTAACTTAGCAGGAGTCAGCATTTACATATACACATCTAGCAATGGAGCAGGTGGTACCTGATATTTTTCTGAAATATTTACCCCAAACGGCATAAGCATCTCCAATGAAAGCTGCATTTTACCTAAACAAATCACAGCAAAAACAGTTTCCTCTAGATCAATAATAGTAATAGCACACAATTTTAAACTAACTTTAATGTAGAATCACAGGAGGAAAAAGATAGAGTTATTAATAGTTTTTAAAATGACTATATGAAGGGTATATAAAGTCTAATAATAAAGTAGACTTCTTAGTTCACAGCACATCCTCATCACTGACACATAAGATGCCTCATGTGTGTATATATGTGGTCAACACAGATCTTTTTATTTGTATATATTCTTGCACAACGCACTACTGTCTTTGTATTTTAATTTATGTAACGCAAGTGTTACACACATCTCGCTGATTACTTTTGTCACGAGGGTCTAGCGCCCACATAGCTGGGTAGATGGCTACTCTGTCCTAAGCTTCTCCATGAGGTCAGTTTCCCAGGAGGGGACACCAGCTTCCTTCCATAAATGATGGTGCAATAAACATTCTCATTGTGTCTCCTCATGGACCTGTCTGAGGATACCTTTGGGATATGCCAGGAGCAGATCTGCTGAGTCAGAGATCTTGTCCTTATTGAAATGACTAAGCACTGCCACACAGGTCCTCAGAATAACTAAACCAATCCACACTTCTTCCTGTGTTACATCGGGTTCCCTATATCCACACCCTTTGGCTAAACTTGGTGTTATTTGCTTTTTACTTTTTTGAAAATCTAGTAGGTATAAAGTGGCATCTTGTTGCCTGAATTTATCCTTATCTGATTACTGAGTTTGAGTGTCTCTTGAAGGCTCCCTTTACTTTTCTGTCAATTACTGTTCATATTCTTTAGCCCATTTTCCCACTGGGCTGCTTTTTCTTTGGATTTGCCAAACTATCTTGTATATTTATTTATCCCATATTAGGATTGCAAATATCTTCTCCCTACTGTCTGTCGACATTGTCCATGGCATTCTTCACTGACTCTAAATCATTAGTTTTGGTGTAATCAAATAATTTGTACCTTATAGCTTATGTTTTTAAAGTTTTATCAAGTCTTTCCCTTCCTCTAGGTCACAGTGGTATTTTCCTATAATCCACTCTAGTAACTCTACAGTTTTACATCCTATATTCTAGTCTTTAACCCCATTGGAGTACATCTCTGTGTTTGATGGGGAACCAAGTTTTATTGACCTACATATACTAAACCTGTTTCTCTAGTACCATAGACTAGACAGTGTAACCTTCCTCTATTTACTTATGATGCTTCTTTATTGTATATTAAAATCTTCTGTAGAGGTACCTGGGTGGCTCAGTTGGTTTAAGTGTCTGACTACGGCTGAGGTCATGATCTCACAATTTGTGGGTTCAAGCCCCACGTCAGGCTCTGTGCTTGCTGTGTGGAGCCTGCTTAGCATTCTCTCTCTCTCCCTCTCTTTCTGCCCTTCCACCACTTGCACTCTTTCTCTCAAAATAAATAAATAAACTTAAAACATTTTTAAATCCTGTGTAGACAATGGTTGGTCTCTATTCTTTAAAAACAAAATCTCATGTGACTTTGTAGGTTGTCTTAATATTTGGTGGGACAAGTCCCCTATATTCTTTTTAAGGTTGTCTTAACTATTTGGTTTTTCAAAAATTCTTTTAGAATAAGTTTAATGAGTGTATTATTAAAAAACATAACTGGAGTTTTGACAAAGATTCCATTGTATTTATAATTTGGAAAAAATTTGACATTCCTAAAATATGAAGTTGTTTAGGCATGCACTTAAATTATCCATGTCCTTATTAGAGTTCGAAAGTTTGTTTATGCCAATGCTTTATTGCAATTATGAGTGTTATCTGATTGCTTATGTTTTGGTCATTGATGGTGTAAGGACATGCTACTGATTTTTCTAAGTTATTCCTGTATTCTCTGCCGAACTTTTGTAGATTCTAATAGTTTTATCAATTTGGTTTTCCCATTCATTCAATCAGGAAGGCCCTTCTGATGCCCCAACCTCAAAACTGTCCTCCTTAGAGAAATTGATAAAGAAATTTAAATTCACAAACCTATCTTTTAATCAGGCTCCAAGTCAAGATTTTAGTAAAATGTTGGGGCGCCTGGGTGGCTCAGTCAGTTAAGCGTCTGACTTAGGCTCAGGTCATGATCTAACGGTTCGTGGGTTCGAGCCCCGTGTCAGGCTCTGTGCTGATAGCTAGCTCAGAGCCTGGAGCCTGTTTCAGATTCTGTCTCCCTCTCTCTCTGACCCTCCCCTGCTCATGCTGTCTCTCTCTCTCACAGAAATAAATAAAACATTAAAAGAAATAAAAAGATTTTTGTAGAATGTTTCTCTAAATGTTCTGTGGACAGCAGTGCAATGAAACGCTTTTGGTCAAAAGGGCTCTATAGCTAATTAGACTTGATAAACACGGTATATAGTCTTTTGTAGACCAGAATGCACAAATTCAAAAGCTCCTAGAAACACTGCAATACAGCAACTGTCCAACTTTTCCAGGCATTTTGACAGTAACCTTTTCACAAATAACATTACTATTTAAATACCTAATCTACAACTTCTATTTATACCTCCTATGTCTCAGAAGATTGGGGGACATTTAGCAAGATTTGAGATGTTGCTCATGCGTGTAAGAATTTTAATCTTTTCTCCTTCTAGGTTAGAACCATATTGTGATATGTTCAGAGAAGGCTGAGGGAATTTCTGCCCACTCCCGCTCTCTAGTTTAACATGCGTCTTGGTGATCACCGGACCCCGACACATACACTGTTGAATTTAAGTTTTAAGTCAGTGTAGTTTTTTAATTAAAAATTTTTTAAGGTTTTATTTATTTTTGAGAGACAGAGCATGAGCAGGGGAGGGACAGAGAGGGAGACACAGAATGTGAAGCAGGTTCCAGGCTCCGAGCTGTCAGCACAGAGCCTGACGTGGGGCTCAAACCCACAAGCCATGACATCATGACCTGAGCCGAAGTTGGACGCTTAACTGACTGAGCCACCCAGGTGCCCCAAGTCAAGTCTATTTTTATGAGGTAAATTACTTTTATTCTCATATATAAATTACCTTTATTCTTATATATTCTATGCTGCATTAAAAAAATCATTTTATTCTCAGGTTATCCACAGTGGTTCTACAACTTGGGAGTTGCAGCCCACGAATCCTTAGCTCAAGTGCAATTTCATGCCAAGACCACTGTGCACAAGGAATGCAGGTGGGCTTGAAGCAGGGTGCAAGGTCCCAGGGACCTGGGAGCCTGGCTCCCCCTGGAGGCAGCCCTGAGCAACACAGCTTGGAAAAGCATCTGTTAAAGGAGAAACATCCGGGGCTAATCCACTTAGTTTTACTGAAACAAACGAATCACTTGAGAATTCTAAGAACCTTTGAATCCTAATACTCTTCTCCTAAAAAATTAAAGATTTCAGTTTAACAGAGTAGGGGGGCAAGGTCCACCTGGAATAGGGGCAGGAAACTATGGTTCTAGCCCCAGGTTGGCTACCATCCAGATATATGAACTTGGCAATGACTCTTGAGCCATTTGCTCATAAGGATGCATGTGCGGGGCTGTGGAAGCTGCTGGATAGATGGTGTTTGGAACTGTTATGCTGAGCTCTCCTAGGGGCTAGATGCCCTTCCGGTCCTCACTTCTCCCTCACTCCCCCCCCCTTTTTTTTATGTTTATTTATTATCGAGACAGAGAAACAGAACATGAGTACGGGAGGGGCAGAGAGAGAGGGAGTCACAGGATCAGAAGCAGGCTCCAGGCTCCGAGCAGTCAGAACGGGGCCTGACGCGGGGCTCAAACCCACGAACCGCGAGATCATGGCCTGAGCTGAAGTTGGACGCTTAACCGACTGAGCCACCCAGGCACCCCTCCCTCACTCCCTTTAAAGGGCATAGCTGTTCACCTTTTTTTGGTAATCATTTTACATTAATCTTTATGTAAGATTTCATTAGAACAAAGAATAGTGTTCTGTGGCTGAAGAATAAGTACATGTTTAAACAATCACTGCACTAGATAACCTTTACAGTCATTTTTAGCTTCAGCATTTGGATTTAGAGAATTTTTTTTTTTTTTATACCAAGACAGAAAATAAGCCTTTACCTGGAGTGAATCATTTTTTAACTCAGGATAAACCCGGGTAAAAACTTTTCTTGGTAAAGAACTCAAACCATCATGGTTGTTTCCAGAATCTGCAGCGAGTCAACACCTTTAACTCTGGCACAGCACAGGATTAATGATCAGCTGGGATCTACTAGTTAAAGTAGGCTCCACACCCAACATGGGGCTCAAACTTACAACCCCGAGATCAAGAGTCACCTGCTCTACTGTCTGAGCCAGCCAGGTATCCCCGTGTAGATGATATTTATTAAAAATAGTACAAAGGGGGTACCTGGGTGGCTCAGTCAGTTAAGCGTCCGACTTCGGCTCAGGTCTTGATCTCACGGTTCATGGGTTCGAGCTCCGCATCGGGCTCTGTGTTGACAGCTAGCTCAGAGCCTGGAGCCTGTTTCAGATTCTGTATCTCCCTCTCTCTCTGCCCCTCCCCTGCTCATGCTGCCTCTCTCTCTCTCTCTCTCTCTCTCTCTCAGAAATAAATAAAGCATCAAAAAATTTTTCTTAAATAAGACTTTCTATTAAAAAATAGTACAAAGAACTCCATTCAATGGATTGATTTTTTTTAAAAAAAACCCTAATTTTATTTTTATTAGCTTTAAAAACAAAACTTGTTACAAATAATCACAAGGATTCCAAAAACATTACATTCAGCTTTTGTCACTTTGATAGGACAAGGAACGTTTACATGTCCTTAAAATACAGGACAGCCAAAGGTGACAAATAATGAACTACCACGAAGTATGGACGGTCACTTCAAGCACACTAAAATACAGAACACACGTATGTAAATTACTGACCAGTTTTCAGAAGGACAATGAACACTCACTATACTTGACAGTACCAGAAAAGTACGTGTCCCGGAAGGTAACACAAGATCACAAACACGTTCAGATGAAATAGTAGTCCAACGCCTGGGTTCAATGGAGACAGAAATGACTGGAAAACTCTTCTTAAAGCTGGAGGACATGCATGCTGCAGCAGAAACGTGAATCTCTCCTGTCGGGGCACCCCCACCCCGGGGTGATATGCAGTGGGAAGAGGATGGTGTGGCAACGTGAGTAGCCACCTTTCTCTCTCTGCAGTCCCCAGTCTGGGTAGGAAGCCCGGGCACTAAACAGGAAACTCTACAGGAAGCACGTGTCATCTACAGAGAGATCTTCCGTTATGACAGAACTAACACTCAGTCGAAGCTGTGCAGGAAACTCCAAGGATCTGCAGAAGGTGATTGATTTTTGCTTCAAAAGGAAACACAGTTTGCAAGAGACACCACGTGTCTAATGTAGTGAAAGGTCTTTACACTTTTGTTTAAATGGATGGAGACACTTTGACTCAGCTCAACATTCGTTTTTCTTAAGCGTGGCAGGAAACTTCTATTTTGAACGTGACCATTTTTATGATCTTTTTTGGTCGGTAAAACCTAGCAGTTGTTGTGATTTCCTGTTGCTTTGTGGCTTGTGTGTTTGGTATAAAAATGACACTCTTCTAGGTATTGGCATTTTCCTGATTCACAGTTAAAGACAACGATGGCATTCCAAAGAAGGTGATGTGGCTGGCCCGGACCGCAAGGGGAGTCTATAACGCATTTGTCAAATTGTTGAACAAGGTTCATAAACTTTATTCTTCAAATTTACTTAACTTTTTAAAAAGTGAGCTTCTATTACAATGGACTTACGTCCCAGCTAGGAGGAACAAATCCTCTCATCTTTTGTTCCCTTATATTGTCACACGGGTAAGTCATCTGTTTCCTTTTGTGCACGACGATGCAAACACAGCTGTGGAAACCAGAAGCGCGGTGAGCGGGAAAGGAAGGTTGACCAGCTTCACCTGGGTGATGGGTATGAAAGTGTACGCCTCCAGAGAAAAAGGAGATACCAGCAGACAGGGAATTCTGACGCCCCAAAGGAGTTCAGACATTTTCCATTGCTTAATCATGTTTGAGATCTTCCCTTTTAAAAATAAAGCTATGGTGCGTAAGAGAGTCTATATAAAAACATGAAGCACAGGTCAGCCTTCAACCTTTTACGAGCACTGGGTGACAGCGTCATGCCACCGCAAACTATTTCCAAATCCGATGAGATCTCATGTTGCTTCATTAGAGTCACATCTCAAGTGTGACTGTTCATACTTTAATCTCATTACCAATAAAATCGAGGAAAGCCCACACAAAGTGTCACCATCATTGCTGGCTACCAAAATGACATCATTTCATTAGATTCCAATCCCAACAGTATGATGATAATGGAAACACAAACACGGAACATAACTTCATTCATGAAATTCTAAGTCACCACCTTCATCTGATGTTTCTTGTCCACTGTATCCTTTGAGGGAGGATACAATTCTTTTTCTTTTTTTGTTTGTCTGTTTTCTTATGACACAGATTCACCACTTCTGAGGGTCTCTAAGAGGCCCTACGCAAGGAGAAAGAAAAGGCCCGGGTGGGAACTGGGGATGCCAATCTAGTCCCTGCGAGCTTTGAAACAAGACACATCACCTCAGTTTTCTCCTCTGTGTCACACACGGTGTAGAGTACGTCATTTCCAAAGCCGCCTTCAGAGGCTCAGATTCTGAGAGAATCTAGTCTCTTCACTTTCCATCACAATGGTTTTCAGAGATGGAATCGCCAGGAGTGGGAAACAAAATGGCCGTTTTCTAAAAGCACGACAGTGCTGTTCCGGCCCTGTCTCCTGGCACCTCTGATTCAAACACACCATGTTCTATTTGGAACCTTTATGTTGAGCTTAAAAGTTCCTGGGAGCATTTACCGGGCTCTTAGTTATGTGGATGGGGTTAGTGTATAAAATCTCAAGAAGCAGACAGTAAGAAGATTAGTGTGCTCCCCTCCTGCTCTCAGCTTCGCAAGGCAAGGGAACTGTTTTCACCCTTTCTGCCTCTTAGCACTTTCAACTAGTAGATGCTCACACTAGCACACTTCTTAAATGGGCAGATTTCTGGTTTTATCAGCTGGGTACGCTACAACAAGCCAGAAGATAAGAGCCGATGCACTGCAGGTTCTGTTGACTGTTCTCATTAAGTGCTATGATGTTCCTATCCCTCACAAATTGTTTTTTTCCTAACACAAAGCATCATTTTCTTTCCTCACAATGCTCTAAATAATTTGATTCCCGAGAAGAAGTTATGATTTCTAAAGAGCACATGGCTACTCTACTATCAGTTCAAACTAAGTAATAACTCAACTTCAGACAAGAAAACTGTAGCTAAACTTATTAAAAGGAACTTAAAAGAAGAACACGAGACTCATCTCTTACAAGACGGTTACACGAGCTAGATATAAAAATAGCCAAAAAAGGACAGAGACCATCATGCTTGTTGAGAAACTGGTTAATTTCACAATATTTAAAAGTTAATGGGCATTTAGTCGTTTTTCTTTCAGCATTTACCTTATGGAACTATATTAGAGACAATGAAAATATTAATGTTCTCCATTCAGAAAAGTTTAATGTATATTAAATAATAGGTATTTTGTATTTAATATATATTTTATATTTAAGTTTTTCTTCAATTTATTCAATACTCTCAAAAGACAGAGAGTATTGCTCTGTTCCTCAAAAGAACAGAGAAAAAGAAAACATTCAGGTAATTTGCACTGCTTGACTTTAAAAACAGGTTGTATACATTAGGGATAGATCATTCTTTAATTGGAAGGAAGACAAAGTCAAGCTGAATAATAAAACCTCATAGATTCTGATTACTTAGAAAATTATAGCTAATAAACATTACCTAAAAGGAAATACTAAAATTCCCACCTGTTGAAAACACACATATTTCCTGACTTACAGGGTCCATTCTGCAATGATTAGTGCAGCCAGATAAGATTGAAAACCGGCAAAATGGAAAACTGGGAATGCAAAGTAAATTTACCAAGAGGCTGTCAGTTAAAACTGCCAGACTACGATCTGAATTTAATAAACTGCTTACGGAATCACAAATTTCAACTGAATTTATACTGAAGCTTGGCAGTGATGGACATCTATAAATAAGAAAGTGCATCTTGTCAGAGTATCTGAGGGCAAGGAAAATATAGAAAACTTTCTTTTTGGCAATACGGTTTAGGTCCTCAGAAATAAATTCTCCGTAATAAGAACCTCTAAACCACAAAAACATGCTACTAAAAATGTATGGACACCCTGGCATGAATCTCTGTGTAGGGGCAGCCTCCTTGGTTTACGGACCCAAACTCCCATGTAGGCCCCTCACACACGTGCCAGGGGGCTCCAGACATCCGACACACACAGGAAACAGCACGGTGAACGGAGATCAGCAGGGCCACCTGACCAAAGCAAAGTTTTCTTAGTTATGTTTCTAAAAAGGGATTGCAAAGTCTGAACAGACCAGAGAAAGTTAAAAAGACTCTTGCTTCTGCTTTAGGGGGATTCAACTATCCACTTCTGAAACACAAGTAAGAAATGATCCTGGGCATAAAAGCCAGGGTATAAAAGACTGCACCAGAAACAAAAGTCTGACTATCTGAGTGATCTCGATTTCCCCCATCTTCCCCTAACTCAGAGAAAAAGAATATGTGTGCCTTTTCTTCCAAAGCCAGCTGGAAAATGTTTAAATAGGCCATTAGAAATGGTCTTTGGAAAATCTTTTAAGTACCTTTTCTAATTTAAAGTCGATGAAAGACACACACAGTAAGTTTAACACTGAAAAACTCAACAGGTGGCTGACGACAGTTGGGTATGCTACAGGCTAGCACGTGGTCACACACAGCAGATGGCACGAGCCACCTGAGGTCCGTCCTCATCAGTCAAACTCACTGGCGGTATGTCCTGCTTCCAAAGTAGCAGCTCTTTCTCCGGGAGAGGCGATGCACTGGGAGCAGTGGTCAGCGCATCAGTGTCCTCTTGAAGGAACAGTAACAGGGAGGAGAGTTACACCCACACAGATGTGGGCCACGTGATTCCAATAGTCAAAGCGAATTTGGCATTTCCTCCCCAAAGCTAAAGGAAAAACTACTTGAGAAAAATGATTCTCTCCGAAATGCTCTGTTTCAGATTTTTGTGCAAAAAGTGTCACATATCTGGAGGAACAATTGACCTTTGAGCAACAGATAGAGTAGCTGGACGCTACTATACCATGATAAAAGTACCCACACCAGATTACTAACATTGTATGATTATTTTTACATTCATAAAAATGCTACTGAACTCGGTGACCACAGCTTTAGATTCTGGGTACCCCATGCAAATGGAATCAGGGAAATTACCATTGCAGGAGGGAGCCAGGAATCAGGCAAATTTCCTAATTTGCTACTGCTGAAAAACTGGGCAAGACTTGCGACATGTTGGGGGCCAATCCTTTCATTCAAGTGCTGTTCGGAATATCTGTTAAAATCGTGACCAGGTAAAATCGGCTGCTACCCTGTGCAGCCAGGTCTGCGGCCCAGGCGGGGGCTCCCAGCCTCCCCTACACACAGCGTTCGCGCCAACGACCGGCAAGGCGGCAGAGGGGCACGGATCTCCGGTGCCGAGCCCATGAGGGCAGCTGCCTGGCACCACAACCAGGGGCCTCAAGGCGCCCCATCGAAGGCCTGGGGCTCACTCAGTGCTGTAGCTGGAGGTTCGGGGCGCCTCGTCTGGGTAATTTTCTGTTTGGGGTTTTTTGTTTCTTCTTCCTCTTCAGTTTCACTGTCACAAACGTGAACCACCACGCTTGGCGTCGACTCAGTTCCTGCGTGGAGCTCGTATTTCTCTCCTGTGGAGGTAAGCGGCAAAAAGAGGGGTCTGTCCTGAAGCTTCTTGTTCCCCAGTTTTGGCATTGGAGACGTGATATTGGAAGGGTCTTACACAGTTTTGCCTTTTCGAGAAATGAGCTAGTGAGGGCTACTGAGGTCTTGGGAGTTAAAATGGAAATGCTAACTACTATTCTATGGACAGTAGGAGTGAACTGCTTAACTTCAGAATGGTTTCGGTTTTCCTGCGGGAGATGCTTGGAAGGTGCCAGGTGGCATCGGCAAGCCCTTTATTACTTTTTTTTAATTGTTTAAATGTTTTTATTTTTTTGAGGGAGGGAGAGAGAAAGAGGCAGAGCGCCAGCAGGGGAGGGGCAGAGAGAGAGGGAGACACAGAATCCAAAGCAGGCTCCAGGCTCTGAGCTGTTAGCCCAGAGGCCGACACGGGGCTCCAACTTAAGAACCATGAGATCATGACCTGAGCCGAAGTTGGACACTTAACCCACTGAGCCACCCAGGTGCCCCTGCTGTGCCTTTTTAAAAAATTAACTTTTTATTATCAAAAATTTTAAATATATGCAAAGCTACGAGAAAAGTATAATGAACCTCCAGATACCCATCACCCAGATTAAAGAATCTCTCTCTTGCATCAGCAAGCCCTTTATTCTAGAATCTCACACATCCAAGATATAGCCTGTAATGTCTAATAACAACACGTGGCCATCTCCCCTCAAAAATGCCTCTTGTTTCCCTTTAGAAGAGGCATAACATTATTGTAGGTAGTCAACCAGCAATGGCAGTGATTTCTTATATTATTTTAAAGAGATGAGAGAAATCAAAGAAAAAGAAATAAACAATAAGTAGAAGAGAAGAATTTAGAAGGAATTGTATGGTATTGCCACTAATTCCTTGAAATAAGTATTCAATGTAGAAGTTGTCTGTCTGGCATTTTGATGGGACAGGGGAGAAGGTAACTGACATCTGCTAACATAGCCTGTTATATACTAGTAGAATCTGCAGCAGTTAAAACTGTGGTTACATTTATTGAGTATTATGTATGTATCATTTAATCCTTACACTGAATCCACACTGAAAGGGAGCTATTATGATCGCTACTTTAGATGAGAAAACAGGCACAGGATTTGGAGCTAAGTGGGGCGCCTGAGTGGTTCAGTTGATTAAGCGTCCGACTTCAGCTCAAGTCATGATCTCACGGTTCCTGGGTTTGAGCCCCGTGTAGGGCTCTGTGTTGACAACTCAGAGCCTGGAGCCTGCTTCAGATTCTGTGTCTCCCTCTCTCTCTGCCCCTCTCCCGCTTATACTATGTCTCTTTCTATCTTTTAAAACTAAACAAACATTGGGAAAAAATAATAAATTGGAGCTAAGTAGCTTGCTGAAGATCACAAAGTTAGCAGGGCACCGGGCTGGCTTAGTCAGTGGAACATGTGACTTTTGGTCTCAGGGTTGTGAGTTCGAGCCTCACATTGGGTGTAGAGATTATTTAAAAAATAAAATCTTAAAGGGGTACCTGGGTGGCTGTTGGTTAAGTGTCTGCCTCTGGCTCAGATCATGATCTCACAGTTCCTGAGTTCGAGCCCTGTATCCAGCTCTCTGCTGTCAGCACAGAGCTCATTTTAGACCTTCTGCCCCCCCACCCCGGCCCCTCCTCTGCTTACACACACTCTCTCTCAAAAATAAACATTTTAATTTTTTAAAAAATTTTTACTTATTTCTGAGAGAGAGAGAGACAGAGAGACAGCAAGAGAGAGCAGGGGAGGGTCAGAGAGAGAGGGAAACACAGAATCTGAAACAGGCTCCAGGCTCTGAGCTGTCAGCACAGAGCCTGACGCGGGGCTCGCATCCACGAACTGCGAGATCATGACCTGAGCCGAAGTCGGACGTTCAACCAACTGAGCCACCCAGGTGCCCCCAAAATAAACATTTTTTAAAAAAAAATCACAAAGTTAGCAAATGCTAGAGTTTGAACTCTAGGTTTATGTGACTTTATTCTCCCCTCTGATCACGTTGCTACCAGTTGGCCAGAACACAAATCACTGAATATGGCCTTTAATACACAAGTTTCTCAGGTTGGGACGCCTGGGTGACTCAGTTAGCTGAGCATCAGACTCTTGATTTTGGCTCAGGTCATGATCCCAGGGTGATGGGATCCAGCCCCACATCAGGCTCGGGGCTGAGTGTGGAGCCTGCTTGAGACTCTCCCTCTCTCTCTCTCTCTCTCTCTCTCTCTCTCTCCACCCCCACCCCCACCCTCCTGCTCCCCCCAACTTGTGCACTCTCTCCCTCTAAAAAACAAAAAAGTTTCTTGGGGAAGAAAACAGGAAAGAAGAGCGTCTGTTACCTGGTCCCAGTTTGGAAACCGCGCACAGTAGGTCATAATTTATGACAGGCGTTGCGTCCTCCCCCTGTTTCCAGCCCACTGGGGGCGACGCGGGAGGGGAGATGAGGAACTGTTTGACCGGCTGGGGTGGCAGCAAATAGGACTTGTCCCGTGCTTCCCCGGACATCTGGGCCTGTGGGCAAGGACGGAGAGTCTCAAAACCAGTGTGCAGCGGCGCTGTTTTGCTTCTCTCTAGGCTGTTAGCACCTCTTTGGAGACACGACAGCTGTCACCTCCCAGCCGCAGAGGGCGGGTGGGTTCAGTCTGCCCCGAGCACGCGGTGGCCCGGAGCCCACCCGCACTAGGTGCTCAACTGCTGCCTGAAAAAGTTAATCAATAAACAGATGATCGAACAATGACTGGTAATAAACCAGAATTCCGAATTTAGAGATTAGGTCATATCGTCTCCATCTCAAGCAGCTCCACTGAGAAATATCCTGGCAGCTCTCATTGAGGTTTCCATTTGGAGTGTGAGACAACAAACTTCTTCTTTTTTAAAGCTTATTTATTATTTTTGAGAGGGGGGAGGTGAGAGAGAGGGAGTGCGGGTGGGAGAGGGGGAGAGAGAGGGGAAGAGAGAGAAACGATCCCAAGCAGGCTCTACAATGTCAGAGTGGGACTCAAACTCATGAGCCCGGAGATCATGATCTGAGCTGAAATCAGGAGTCAGAGGCTTAACTGACTAAGCCATCCAGGAGCCTCCCCCTTCTCTTTTTTAAATTTTAAAGTTAAGACCAAGGGGGAAAATATTGGTTGAAAGTCCCACAGCCCACTTAATACATGAACAGAGGTCTAAAGCCTTTATGTCAATTCCTCTGGGGAGAAACTAGTCTCCAAGTCCCACTAGTGGGAATTAGAAGAGTAAGCACTTCCGGTTCTTGTAACCCACAGGCTCCCGGAAGTGGTCTCTTTGCACAGTCCTCGCCCCCCCCCCCCCCCCCCCCCCCCCCCCCCCCCCCCCCCC